AACACACACAGACAAACACACACACACACACACACACACAGACAAACACAAACACACACACACAGACACACACACAGAGCCACATGACGCATTTGCTCTTTCTAATGTTTATATTATGTTTTATAATTCCATTCCATTATAATAACTCCATTCAATATAATTAACATTTAATGCACATGTTCCCTCACCAGTACAGCTGCTGAGCGATACGGATGCAGTGCAAAGATCTGGAGAGCAGAAGCTTCATCAATGGCCCGTCAATTTCCCACTCCATCTTCAGAGCCTGGAGGAGAGGTCAAACATCAGACACAAACGAGATTTGTTTTGTCAGCATTATAATGCTGGAAGGACATGCAGCGGTCATCATGAGTGCTAGCGTGTGTCTGGAGGTGAAGCATGACGCTGCGTGTCTCACCTGCACCAGCTGCGGCAGAAACTCCTCCAGCTCACTGTCACACATCTGCTGGAAACACTGCACCGCCACTGAACGCACGCGCTGGTCATGAAACCTGACGCACAAACACACCCGCTTAATCTCTGATTCACATCAGAAGAACAGCAGAAATGCAGTACAAGCCGTTTGCAGAAGTACATTCAGTGATCTGATGAGAGCAGCATCAACTAAAGCCCAAGAAGATCACTGCCACTGTATTGATACGCCCACAATTAACATCATTATTCACTGTGATAATGACAACTAAAGACAAATGGGTGGGTAATACAAGCAAAAATTTATACCACAATATTTTTTCAATTTTTTGCAATTGCATGATAAAATATGACATGTCTTTATGGAAACATAAACATTACAGTTTACTAAAATAATAATGGTCAAAAGTAATGGTAGGCCTATCATAAAAGCGACACATTTTGTGACAAATTAATAAATAATTACTAAAAAATATCTTTCTAACACAATCATCGAGGCTTTTCACTTTTGAGCACGAGTGTTTTCGGAAGCTTCTCTATGACCCAATATGTGCAGTTTTACGTTTTCATGACTTAATGATAAACATTTTGGTGACTATATAATATAAGACACACCAGAAGTGTCTGTAAACAAGGAAAATGAATGGTCACCTGCCAGAAGTGCCAGGAGTTTTTATATTTTGTATTTTTTTTGGTTTATAATGTTTTGTTGGCAGATGAAATGAAGACATAAAATGGTGTACAAAGATTACAATCTAGTTAATCTGCAAAAAAATAAAAATTAAAAACCCTGTCTATCTTTCAGGACTGATTCCAAACTCATTAACGCTAGAGCTCTGGTCCATGTCCTGAACAGAACAGAACTACTGATGTGTTGTGGGGATCATACTCATCACTCAGGAGGAACAGGGCCTCCTCAGCGCTCACGGGGCTCCAGCGCTCCAGGACGGAGTATATTTCCGGCAGGTTCTGCGGTCTCCACTGCGACGCGCTGCCCAAAACCAAGTGCAGGCGTGAGTTCCTCTGGCTGCAGATGTGCCGCTTGCTCCACAGGAAGGCCTTCTCGTTGTCAGTCATGCTGCAGAATGTTGAACAGAAGAAGTGACATTAATGTCCACATCAACCACCGTGTCTGAACTGCTAATGGGTGTCTTCTCTTGTACTGACAGCGACAGGCTGTGTTTCTGACACACTTCTGTCACTCTCTTCTGCAGCTCTTCACACAGCGCCGACTCCAGGACTGCTTCGGGCCGAGCCGCCGCTCGCTCATATCGCCACTGCTCAGACTCCGGGAAATCCATCTGTGGAGAAAACCCAGTGTGAAAGAGGCTTCCTTTATGAACAAGATTAACTTCATACTTTAGCTCTCACAAAACCGCTCAAGAAATGTGGTGCACACGCGTCAGAAAACATAATAAACTGCACATTGAGAATACTACATGTGATGATGAGTGATGTTTCCAGAGAGTGTAAAAGCGTGCACGTGTCTGGTGAGGAAGCATGCACCTGTAGAATGACTCCAGTGGGCTGTCGATGGCCGTCGCTCAGCGCCGGTGACGGAGGACAGATACATGTGATGATGAGTGATGTTTCCAGAGAGTGTAAAAGCGTGCACCTGTAGAATGACTCCAGTGGGCTGTCGATGGCCGTCGCTCAGCGCCGGTGACGGAGGACAGACGGGAAACACCTGTGTGGACATACTGAGCAGAACCGTGCCATGAACCGCAGTCCTGCAACAGCACAGCATCCATCCATCAATCACAGCATCACAGAAACACTGATCGAAGCATATTCACTGCATATGAAGGTCCACAACACACTCTATACAAGTAGGCAGACTCTTGCATTCCAGAAAAACACAATTCATAATGCAACGCAAGAACATGCTGCATTGAAAGCATTGGGCAGCAGCATACATGGTTTTCTTTTCTAGTCAACGACTGGCAGACCAATAGTGTGAAGACTAAAAATTGATATTTTGAGAAGCGTCTATAAAATGAGGTCTAATGTTGTTTGCTTCCCAACATTTTTTCCAAACATCAAAACCGGTTTGATGAGGTGAATGGCATACCTGTTGTTAAAAAGAGGAAGGACCGCCCAGCACAGGAGCTCGGGGTGTTTGGCCTGTTTCGAGCCCAGTAGATGAAAAGACAACATTGATTCATATGGAAGCTCCTGTACTGGAACGGGAAACACCAATCTGAAACACACAGGAACCAGAACATCATTTGACTTTGAACTCAGTCGTATGTTTCACAGATAGACAGAGCAGAGTTCACTAGATAAATGGACTATAAAAGAAATTGTATTCATCCTAATGAATATTATCAACCTTGTACCCCGTTTTGACTGCAGTGAGCGTGAAAGTGGCATCCTTGCAGTGTAAGAGTTTTCCAGCACAAACACCCAGAGTGCATCATTTAGTGAAGGTATTCATTAATGAAAACTCTGTCATATATTAACCTGTTTACTTTTGAACTCAAACCCATGGAATTCCCTCATTAAAATACACGCAGCCTTTGAACCACAAGCATACAGTTGTGGCCTTTAAGAATGCACATATTTGTCTTGCCGTAGCACATCATTCGCTGTAGATGAAGTAGCTCTTACAGACGGTTGCACTGGATCTTGCAGCTGAGTTGCAGGGACGTGCTGATGTTCTCAGACAGCACAGGTTCAGTCAGATTCCTGCCGCAGTATGTGAGCGAGCAGCTCACGCTCAAGTGATCGTAACTGTAACACACACACACGCACACACACACACACACTGTGACTCATACTCCTCATTATCACAGAACCAGTTCACCCATTAACCATTTCCTCATCCTCAAACCCTTATGACTTTCTTTCATCTGTGAAACACAAATAGAGATTCGCTCTTTACTGAAAACCTTCCACTGCATCTCTCAACTCTCATTTGTGCTTGTGCACATTCAAACCTGGACTTCACATCAGTGCTGCTAAAACCATTGGTTCTCCCGTCTCAGAACGGATATCCAGGATTGTTTTGAATGAGATTTGAAAGCTACGGCAGATTTTCACCACACTGTTCTGCACTCACAGCTATGCTCGGAGGACCGGGTTTCTCAGAAGTGTTAAACATCTCGTCGTACCTGTTTATCCAGCCCGGCAGCAGTCTGTAGAGGCACGTCAGGTTGACTTGCAGCATGCAGCTGCTGTGCTTGACGTCTGCTGCTGGTGGATTCGGATGGTCCTCCTGTCCTCTGAAGTCCAAATCAAAGTTTGTGAAGAAAATGTGGAGCAGCTTCAGCAGAGCGTGATGGAGCATGACTACAGCTGAAACATGCAGACTTTACACTTACAATGCATGCACATCACTGAAAACAACATTGCTCTTATAGAGCAAACAGCTTATGTGTGTCTTGAGCTTCCACTCAAGCAGAACAGACATGCAAAATCAAGCCCAGAGACTTCACTTTAGTATAAAGACTCACCAGTTTCACAGTCACACATTTCGACTGGAGTCTAGGGAAAAGAACATTATATTTAATCTTTGTTATTAAACACCAATTCAAAAGCACGTGAGGTGTGTTGTACCAGTGTGACTGGAGCGTAGCACTGGATCCGCCCGACGGCGTCCTCCAGATCTGCTGTAGTGACGCCACACAGCTGTTCACACACGGCATGAACGCTCTCCACAACCTCCCTCGCACCGACATCACACTGACATACCAAACACAAACCCTGTCAGTCAGTCATTACGTCTTTACTGAAGCCATGCAATGACATGCAGATCATTCAGAGTAAAGTTCACATGTATAGAAGCATTCCAGTCATGCACATGGATTTCCTTCTTTCAGATTAATTTCAGTGAAACACAAACCCAGCTTCTCAAGAGCTTGTGTACTGCCTGGCTGTAGATGCACAGTTTCTCCTGCAGACCCGACCTAAGAGAACAAAGGAGATTCAGTATGTTGGCACTTGACTCAAGAACAAAAACTATAAGTACACAAATAGGTCAGGAGAGATGTAAAGGCATAACGCTGGCAAAATTCAATTTGAAATGTAATGTATAAAAAGTGGCATGATTTTCAGTACATTTCCAGCAACATTCTAAGCAAAACTTGAACTTGAATTTGTCAGTTCCTATTCTAATTTAAATTTAAAGTTCATTCTAATGCATTAATGTGCAAAATTTCAATTACAAACACAAACCCTGTCAGTCAGTCATTACGTCTTTACTGAAGCCATGCAATGACATGCAGATCATTCAGAGTAAAGTTCACATGTATAGAAGCATTCCAGTCATGCACATGGATTTCCTTCTTTCAGATTAATTTCAGTGAAACACAAACCCAGCTTCTCAAGAGCTTGTGTACTGCCTGGCTGTAGATGCACAGTTTCTCCTGCAGACCCGACCTAAGAGAACAAAGGAGATTCAGTATGTTGGCACTTGACTCAAGAACAAAAACTATAAGTACACAAATAGGTCAGGAGAGATGTAAAGGCATAACGCTGGCAAAATTCAATTTGAAATGTAATATATAAAAAGTGGCATGATTTTCAGTACATTTCCAGCAACATTCTAAGCAAAACTTGAACTTGAATTTGTCAGTTCCTATTCTAGTTTAAATTTAAACGTTCATTCTAATGCATTAATGTGCAAAATTTCAATTAAAATAGATATTTCTCCTTTACAAATGCAATAAGGGCAGGAAAACCTTTTTTTTTTTCTGAAATGCATTTACACTCAATTAAAACATTTGAAATTGTGTGTTAATTAATATTTTGTGACGAATGCAACAAAATTCTATGTGGGTTAGAAAATGCATTTGATTACATTTACGTCCCCGCCTGTCAATCACCGCATCATAGCTAATACACAACCAATTTAACTATTGCAAATCATAACACATCCAAATTGTACATTCAAATACAAGAATACTGTACACTGACATCTTACATTGCAAATGGAATTTTGTCAGCCTTATGCTTCCATAGTACAGAAGCAAGCAAACCTTAAAGTGCTGAATGCACAAGCAGAAGCGAGGACTTGATTAAAATGAAACATCTGGCGGTCGTCTTCCTCCTACAGAAACATGCAATCTGATAACAAAATGACCTTCTTCAAACGAGAAACTGTCTCAGAGCCACAGTAATTCAATGCCATACATCTCGTGTCAGTGTTTTGTCAGCGGAGTCCTTGAGCACCATCCTCACTGGAACATCCAAAGCAAACTTCTCATACACCTGGATGCGTTCATATAATCCCAGGATTTCATCGCTGGACGAGGCAAGACAAAACAACGACAGAGAGTATTTCCATTAATGTTCAGCAGCAACAAGAACATCTGATCCACTACTGGCAGCGTGCATGTCAAATATGACAGGTGAAATTACCTTCTGAGATACTCCTCTGAGTCGCAGAGTTTCATCAGGTATTGTCCACTGACAGAGGCAGAATGATCTAGAGTCACCAGCACCGCCTCCATCAGCTCCTGGGCTGTGCTGTTCACTGAGAAAATAATGTGAAAATAAAGTGCTTAAAGCTCAAACCTGATGTATATCATCTGTAATACTTACATCTGCTTCTGTACGGCAGTTCCACGGGCAGCCAGGGAACAGACACATTGAAGAGAAGTTCAGCGGACTCCAGGAGAGACGCGTGCACAGGGGCCACGCGGGCCCACACCACGCTCGAGTTAACCTCGTCATGATTGAGCCTGTATTCTGAGAGCAGTCTGTCAGAAGACAGCATTCAAGCAGGAATGAGGACGTCAGTCACATAAACGCTCACATGCATGCAGCTCAGTTATTCATACTGGAGCAGTGAGCTACATATCCATGTCTACTAAATACTCTGGTGTGTAAATTAAAGTTCACATGAATTATTTACAGTGTTAAATGTACAAGTGAATTCAGTACACATGCATGAAATTATTATGATTAATACGATCTTACTGCGATGTTGACACGCAGAGCGATGCAGTTCTGCTGTTACTGCCTTGTGTGGAATCAATTAAAGTGATGCTCCAAGCGTCCTGCAAAAACACAAATTCATAATCTATTAGTAAGATACAGAGTGATCGACAGAGCGCCATCCACAGGCTGAATTACACAAGCGTGCGTGTCTGTGCTCTGCGATTAATAGGCGGTTAATCATAATTATTTATTAACTGTATTAATTCTAGTGCTATGACCCGGAAATGTCTGTTATTTTAAAATATCCATTAGTAAACTTTTTAGTATTTACTAAACATTCAAGTCAAATGTAAGAAAAGGTTTAGCTAAGAGCCAAAGTCTATCTATGTACAGTCTAAAGCAGGGGTCCTGCAGAGTTTCTAGTAAGAGCTTGAGCAGCTGGTTCAGGTGTGTTTGATTAGGACACCGGCCCTCCAGGACCCAGTCTGGTGACCCCTGGTCTTTTTTCTGGTATAATGCATTCAAATCCTCCAAACTTACATTTAGTCCTTTAGCAGACGCTTTTATCCAAAGCGACTTACGAATGAGGACAATGGAAGCAATCAAAATCAACAAAAGAGCAATGATATACAAGTGCTATAACAAGTCTCAGTTAGCTTAACGCAGTACACGCAGCAAGGTTTTCTTATATAATAAATAAAAAGAAAACAGATAGAACACAAAAAGATTAGAGAAGCTAGTGTTTTTTGTTTTTTTTAAAGAAAACAAGCAGTTAGTAAATGAATAGAGTGCAAGTCTAAAAGGGGCAAGTTTTTTTTAAAGAATAGAATTAGAATAGAGAGTGCTAGAGTTATAGGGTTTAACATTTTAAACTCCAAGCTCAGGCACAGCCTGTATTACTCAGTGCCATGGTTCTATCATCAGTCAGCAGCACAGTACCATGTTACTGCGGTCACTGTGTGGAACAGGTTGCTTCAGCTCTGATCCTGCAGCGGGTTCCTCGTTCTTCACCTGCTCCTGATTCCTCTGATCGGCTGCGGAGTCAGAAAGGGCTGTGTATAAATCCAGATAATCCTGCTCTGAGAAGACAGGACCATCCCATCCCAGAAACACAGGACCCTCGGGTCTCCCGGCGGGGTCTTGACATGGATCCATCGGATCTCAGCATGTAAAGGCAGATCTCTCAGAGGATTGTGTCATGAGAAATGCTCGAGTCCGGTTTCAGGTCATTGCTGACAGGCCGGTGTTAAATACTCTCACCATCTGATCATCTGTAAACAGATCTTGAATCGTCTCGAGTGAAATCAATCTGATTCGGAATAAAAATATGTTACATTAATTTACTCATAAGAGTGAATCCAGCAGCTTACTCCCGAAACCTTCACAACAGGTGTGGGAAGATCAATCGTAATCAACGCTAGTATTGGTATCGGATCGATACTTTAGGTGAAGTTTCTCTACTCTACGCCTAGCATTGCTCCCGCTCAGCGCGCCGCTCCTTTCATCTCGTATGGAAGTTACTTTAGTGACATTTGAACCGAGGCACCGGAGGATAATGGGCGTGACAGATGACGCGAGCCTTGTGGTGATAACGTAGAAATCACGTGACCAAAGACAAACGTAGCCTCACGTTCTGTCCAATCACGTGCGCGATTCACCTTTACCTTTCACAGGCTTTTGGCAGCTTTATATTTTACATTTTCGACACTCTCGAAGCTTTGAATCTTTTCCCCGGAGCAGTCAGAGGAAAGTCTGAGGCGGAGTCCCAATTCGCCTAAAAGTATGTACTCGTTTTGTGAAGAAAAATTACATACTTTTTGAGTGTGTGTGTGTGTGTGTGCCGTATGCATCAGACTTTTTTTTTTTATTAATGAATATACATAGATAAATACACATAATTACAACTCAAATCAGATTATAACAACAATAATAGATATATAAACAATATACAAAGAACCTGGAAAATAGCCATAATGATGCATTTAAAAGTTAATGACCAAACGTTATTTGGGTTTATTGTTGCCAATGTAATTATTTTGTTTAGACCATTTCTGTATTATGATTCCAATTTATGTGAGTGGCATCATGTAATAGTAAATACCCAACTCAGCTGCATGAAAGTGAACCTGAAGACCTTGATTTCCTGGCCCAGGT